TCCATGAATAAAATTTTTACTTAAAAAATTTTCTAAACAATAATTTTAAAACTAATGTTAATTTCTTATGTGAATAATTATTGTAAATTGTAACACAGAGGCAGTGTCAAAATGGTCCAAAAGGGGTTGGGCTGCGATATTGCTAAAACCCTAGTATAATATCTATTGGCATATTTAAATTTTGAAACATATTGCAATTTTAAAAAAAATTTTTTCGCAAAATTATAAATTTAAGAGACCTCCTCATAATCTAATTTGGATTAAAAATTTTTTTGAATTAAAAATTAATTTGGATTTTCGTGTTAAAAATTATTTACATTTTGAAGTACTGTCCTACCACAGATTCCAGAGCCCCAGATGGCAGATTTCCAGGAATGGTCTACTACCATACTGGGTGAAGAAAGTGGAAGGAATGTAAATCAGTGTGCATTGTTAAGCATTGTTGATGAGCTACAGTTTATCATTTTTCTTTCTTTACAATTTACACATTTACATTGAATTAATTTGATTATGGACCTGACATCTTCTACAAGTTCAAGTAATAAACAATTTCAAAATAAAAGCAAACACAATGTACTTGATATTATTTTCAGGCAATTTATCCGAATTAATTAACAAGCATAGATTCTGAAACGTAAATTGTTAATATAAATATAATATATGATAAATATATTATATAATATATAATATATAATAAATATATATTATATATAATATATGATAAATATTAATTAAGTTCTCATTTCATTTGCAAATTTATTTACTGATACAAACTAACTCATTTTCATAACTGACTTATCTTTTTTGTCCATGCACAGTAATGTCTAGGGATCTCATCTGTAGTCAGAAAGTATCATATTTTAATTCTTTTCAAACCACTAACAATCACCCTCAAAATCTCAATTTGAAACAGGTGTTAATGAACTGGCTCTAAAACTTAAAAGTGCAAAAAAAAAATTTTTTAATGGTACCATTCTATCAATTTTCATTTTAAAAATTTTGATTGTATAATAAAATAATTTCTCATTAAACTTTTTAAATTTATTAATGTTTTAAAATACTTCATAAAATTTATTAAGGACCAATTTAATAAATACTTTTGTAATGGATTACAGGATTTATTAATAGGATTGGAAAAATAACAAAATGTCTTATTTGCTTTGTACCCAATACTAATGTACTGTACAGTACCTGATATTCCACACTATCTCAAGCCTCATAAAATAACCCAAAGCTTTGGAAATGCAATACCTACAGTTAGAAGTGATCTGGTGCTTAACAGCATAACATAAATAATAATTTAAGTTCTCAAACATCAATTAATAATGTAACATGTGATATTAGAAACGTCACATTGCTCACAATGGCAAGAAAAGTGAGAAATAGTGACAGTTCATCAAAATAATTGAGAAAAAATGACTAATTTAAAAATAGTTATCCCTTCTGAGACCTTTATTTCTTTCTAGATCAGATGTTTCTTTGTGTACGATTTTACTTGCTAGAACAATTAATTTTTAATTACTATGAAGTTTCAAAAAAGTAGTTCCTGTTTTGGAATTTTACAGATGAAATTAATCATTTTTTTCCAATGAATGTATCTTTTGAATTATATTCAAAATTTCAAGTCATAAGTCTTTGTTTTCAAAACAATTTTTGGATGATAATTTTTCATATTTATTTTTCTTTTCGTGTTAAAAATTATTTACATTTTTTTGTATTGAAATATTTTTAAACATATGACATAAATCAGGGGTTCTCAACCTTTTTTTTACCCATGGGCCCTTTTTCCTCTTAATTTTTTTTTTGTGGATCCCCATACATTGCACAGAAAAAACCTTATATTTTTTTTGTTACACTGTTTCAAATTGGAAAAATATTTTAATACTAAAAAATATTTTAATACTGAAGCTCTGAATTTCAGAAAAAGTAACTACAGGTAATCCTCGTATAACACGGGAGTTATGTTCCAAAAAACTGCAATGTTATGCGAATCCGTGTTATACGAAACAAAGAACTAGTGTGAAAAGGAGGGTTAGATTCCAAAAATTAACAGCATGTTTTTTAACATGCTGTTAATTAAATCCTTATTTAAATCGAATTTATTATTCATTTTTTTCATAGGTAAAATATTTATTATTTAAGTAAATATTTTACCAGAGGATTATTCATTCTATATGATGATCTCAGCATGAGCATCATCAACTGGTAACAGTTTGAATGCTGTTATTAAATGCTGGTAATTAAATGCTGTTATTTAAATCGAATTTATTATTCATTTTTTTCATAGGTAAAATATTTATTATTTAAGTAAATATTTTACCAGAGGATTATTCATCCTATATGATGATCTCAGCATGAGCATCATCAACTGGTAACAGTTTTTGGGTGCGTTCATTAATAGCGATCGCTCTGCAACAGGAGTGCACTGCTGTTTGTAGGCATTTAGGAATGATAGTGAAAGAAAGATGGCGGCGCCCGCACTATCGATAGTATCGCAATGGAGGAATCTATAATTCTAGAATGAGCTTTTAGAGGCAAAAGAAGGGTCCCAATTGTAAAATTTAACCATTAAATGAATTATTTGTTGAAAGAGCATTCAAAGTAGCCACGAAAACAATTAGAATGCTCGCGCGGAGTTATGTGGAAGTATAAAAGAATGCACCCTTTATTACATTTTATGTTGTAGAAGGGTTTTACCCAATTCCCGAACCGTGTTAGAGTGAACCCGTGCTATAAAACCACTGTGTTATACGGTGAATGTTCCCAATTCTCAAACCGTGTTAGAGTGAATCCGTGCCATAGAAGTGCCGTGTTATACTGGGGTTACCTGTACTGTATTTATGAACTAGCACTTTTAATACCTCTTACCTTGTGAAGATGGAGTTTTGCACAGAACTGAAGGTTATACTACGTTCGCACACAATCCACGACTCACTTCAATCTCGATTTATCTACAATCTGGATTGTGAATGTCGCTACTTGAACGTCGTGCTGTTCGCACAGGCAGTCCGCTCAAGAAGAACCTGGCTATTACACGCGATCATAAAACTGACGTAACTACGCGGTTAAGTCACAAACACCAACAAACAAAATGGAAGTTTTGGTTAGAAATAAATACTTTTTCTTGCCATACATCTAATAATAGACAGATGTCGTCGTCTCTCCAGATGTCTTTTTTATTTCTCTGTCGATAGCCTGACACGAGTTTCGCAGCCATCTTGTATTTTCTCACGCGCGTGGGATTGTGGGATCTCTCTTATGACTGGATCTAGTTTCGAGAACTCTCTCCAGTTGATTGCGATTGAACCTCGTTTCAGTCGAGATTGAAACGGTCGAGAGCATTCGCACCACGGAACACTCTCCAACCTTAGTCACAATTTAGATCGAAATGCTCGGTGCAAACGGGGTATTAGCATTAAAATAAACTGATTACCTTTATATTGGGGGAGAAGCTATAAAGTTTATAGCCTTCTTCCCTAATCTTCAAGATCTGGAACAAACTGACACAAAATGTTCAGAAATGTCACTGTCAAGTGACATGATGCTGATGGTATAAGATTCTCCTAAAGGCGGCCATATACGTTAAGTTAATCCTTTGAGGCTGCCTGACCTTGAGGAACTTCAGAATTTCCTATCGCCCACACACGAAGAAGAAAATCTCTCAGCAGATGCGTAGCTAGGGTGGGGCAAGTAGGCCATGTGCACTGGGTGCCACTTGCAGAGGGGCGCCAAATGGTCTCCAAGACAAACAAGATTTGTTTCTGGAGGGGGGTGCCAACAGTGTGGTGCCCCGGGTGCCAGTTATGTTTGCTACGCCATTGTCTCTCAGACAGTCAGTCAGTTGGCCATGGCATCTGATGATGACATACTGGCTGTTCTTGGATGTTTATTGGCAACAAATTCTATTAAAACTTGCAGGAAAAAAGTATGCATAAAAGTCTATGGTGTAAATAATAGTAGTAGTGATTTGGGTAGCACTGATCACAAAATTAATTTTTCAAGAGAAATCTTGGCCTATAGATTCTGTTAAAAAGCATCAATTATTAGCGAAAGATCAATGGCAAGTCGATTTTACTACCAAAAAAATTCATGGATTAAATTTTATAGATGAATATGTATTAATAATTCTCAACCACATCCACTATTAGTACAAATTGTAAACATTATTATCGAAAATTAATTTTATAATTTAATAATTAATAAGAATTTATTAAACTTTGTCTTATTTTAAGTTGTCATGTTTTAATTTACTTGGATATTAAAACAATAAATTTTTTAAAATGTAAAAGAAAATGATATAGAGTATCNAACCTTTCTCAAGGTCAATCTTGTCTTCCAGATTATTCAAATTATTAAATTTATTTCTAAATTAATATAACTATTAATATAAGTATCAATACAAGACGAATACCTATCTTTGCTCTTAATTTGTTAGATGCCTAAATCTGGTTTTATTCAATAATTTTTAGAAATTCAAACTTGATTGTAATTATACACTTTTTCTAAATTTATTTTTCGTAATTAACATTAATCTTTCTTTTCACTTATAATTAACAAAATAAATTAAAAATTATCTTTAAAAATTTCAATTGTTACAGAAAAAAATCTGAAGTTTTTAATTATTAACTTAAAAATTTTTTTTAAATTATATTAAGCACAATAACAGTATTTATGATGAAATCATCATCTTCATAAATATTAAAATTAGTAATAGAAGATTTACAGTATTTAAATTACAAATGATGTACAATAATTTGCTTTCAGGTGATTTAAAAGTATTTAATTATTGTTTTTTGTTAATATTTAGACATAATAATTGATGTACACTTAAAAATTTTAATGCTTTCATATCGACTTTGCAATAAAAAACATTAGAAATAATAAATAATATTTAAAGCAAAAAAATGCAATGAAAATTTTTTTCCTATATATAAACAAATTATTTATATACCATTTTCTTTTCAATTATTGGCTAAACACATTCCAATAAAGTTACTCACCAAGACGGTTTGGTGTGGTAGCTCTGGGTGGAACTTGCAATTTCTCCACTGGACTCACACCTTCTAAATGAAGGTCTGTGCTTTTCTCTGCAGATTTATGTGAGGGAGATGTGTGATCTTGTGTGGATGATGAATCATCTTTCTCTGAAGAAGGAATTTTTGTCAAAGGACGAAATATCTCTCTGGGTTCGGCAGCATGGGCAAACCAGTACGAATCTATTAATTATAATCATTTGTAAGCAACATTTACAAGTTGATCACTAATCTAATAAACATTGAGAGAAATATACTAAAATGTAAGTAATTTTCACATTTGAAAAATCTCCTGTGATGTTTCAAATAAGTTTTAATAGAGGAAATTGAATAGAATGAATCTTTAATGGAAAAGACAGCTTGAAACAATATAAGAAAATTAGTGAATAGAATTCATATTTAATCTATCATCTTTTATCAAGCCTATAATCATATTCTAAAATTCTTTAAATCTAAAATTATTAAATAAATTTATATAGCACACACAGATGAAGATTAAATAATCTGTATATATTAGTTTATTCCATTTAACAACAGTTTTTATATCAAACAACTTTCTAAAAATAATTTTAAAAAATACTATTCATGAAATTTACTATCAAGGATTATTTACAAATGTTATAAAATATGAGTAATTTTATATTTATATTCAGTATAATTTTCTCATCAATAGCACACATCATTGATTTATCAAATTTAATCTCATTAAATTTGTTTGATTAAAATTTTTTTTAAGCAATAAAAGAAAATTAAAATTCACTAATAATACACATGCAGTTTTTTTTAAATTCATTACAGTATTTTCTATTTTTATTTGAACAGTAATTCCATTTAAATAAAGTTTTAGAAAACTTTTGATTTACTACTACTAATGAATTTATAATTTGTGAGTTCATTTATATGCACATGCTGTAGATATATAAAAATACAGAAACTCAAAATAAAAAATTTATCAATTTTTATTTTTAAATAAATAAGAATTATTTTCCTGTAGTAAAAAAATCACCAAAACAGTAAAGAAACATTTAGATAAAAGTAAATTTAGAATGATAATACATTTTTGTTGTTCCTATTAAAATAATTAATAATCTGATAATGTATTACACAATTATTAGAATAATGAAGATTACTTTTATTCAAAATTTTGATTTATCATCATTATATATCACCTGTGAGTTTATAATCAAGAATATAAATTTATTCATTATTCTGACATGACATACATAGTCAATTTTTACAATGTTATTTTTTACACATGAATAAAAATTAAAATAGACTTTATATCACATAGATAATTATAAAATAATCTCTACAATTATCTCAAATGTTCTAAATATGAAGTATTTTATGTGATTAGAAATGATTGGGGATGATTGCATGTGAATCTATTTTTGGAGTTAAACTACTTCCAATACAATAGAAGTCACAGAGTAATCAAGATGTAAGAAGTTCATGATGGATACAGATATGTTATTGAAGCCAATCTAAATGTGAAACAAGAAGTTTATTATTTAAATCATTTAAAATTTTTTTATAAACAGAAATGAATACAACTTTATCCAATCATTCAATGAATAATTAAAACTTAATTTTGTTTTATAACTTAAAAAATGCCTGTAATACATTTCTTTTAGTTAAAATAAATATATTAAAATAGTGTTAATCACCATTAATAAAAGAATTTTAACAATTTCTTCATATTTTATAATTTTAAATCATTCCATTTTTCTAATTATTAATGAAAAATTTTTTATTTGCAACACTAAATACAAAAAGCATCTATTTTTAAGTTTAAGTTTGGAAGAGAGGAATAAAAAAACAAAATATTTGAAATTCAAATCCAGGAACTATTTTTAAAAATTCTAAATATAGCCATCATATTTAAAAATCAAATATAATAAGACATTAGTAATCTAATTAAAAAAGCATATGATGTATTAATATTAGTAAAAGATTTCACATTTAAAATGTTTGGCATAAATATATTAGGTAAACAAGATTATTAATTTAATATTCAATATTATTTAAACGTATGCAATTAGGAAATGTTGACTCAATCTCAATCCTTTTTCCTGTTTCTTAATCAATTACATGCTTAACTACAACTCATCTTTACAGCATTTAGTGAGCTTTTGTTATATTGAGAAAAATCTATTTCACTTAAAAGATTATTTCAATATAATTTTTTATTATTACAGTATGTAAAAAAATTACAATTACATTATATTTCCTGAAAATTAAAATGTTAGAGTTTAACTTGATAAATAATTCAAAAAAAAAAAAATTATTATAAATTATTAATACTTAAATTTACAAATTACTTATATATTTTTTCATGAAACAAATATTCAAAACTGATAAAAATTGTTGAATTATTCAATCCTTAAATATTTGGTTAACAATTTAAATTTATAAATATTAACAATTGAAATCATTATTCTAATATCAATTTATAAACACACAGAAAAACCAAGTATAATGTTTTAAGTTTATTTAATTATTAAATTGTTTGAAAAAATTTAAACATAAAACACTTTTTACTTTTATATATACCATATATATAATTTGAACTTAGCAAATGACCTGTTACACCTAAAGCTACCCACAAGTAAAACAGAATCACCACCTAAGAACACGAAATTGCTCAATTTAATCTAGATTTTGTAAAATAAAACATCAATAAAACAATAAGGCCAATTTTAAGTAATTTTCTTCAAAACTATTTTTCAACACAAATATGCTTTTAAAACGTTTTTGCCATATTTTATCAAAATGACAATTTAATTTGTAATAATAAATTGAATTAGATCGGATGTTAGAATTACCTTTTGCCGGTGACATTTTTGTTGAAGATAGCCGTCCACTGACAGATACTGGGGAAACAGGTGTAGTCTTATCCACTGCTGTTGGCTCATCTGAATGTTATATATCAAATAAAATGATGTTAAACTTTAACATATTTTAAAATAAATGATTTATTTATAGAAATTTTAAGTAACACATGTAAAACAATGCATCAAATTTTTACAAATATTTACACGAAACAAAACATTACATCATCTTCATAAATATTAAAATTAGTAATAGAAGATTTACAGTATTTAAATTACAAATGATGTACAATAATTTGCTTTCAGGTGATTTAAAAGTATTTAATTATTGTTTTTTGTTAATATTTAGACATAATAATTGATGTACACTTAAAAATTTTAATGCTTTCATATCGACTTTGCAATAAAAAACATTAGAAATAATAAATAATATTTAAAGCAAAAAAATGCAATGAAAATTTTTTTCCTATATATAAACAAATTATTTATATACCATTTTCTTTTCAATTATTGGCTAAACACATTCCAATAAAGTTACTCACCAAGACGGTTTGGTGTGGTAGCTCTGGGTGGAACTTGCAATTTCTCCACTGGACTCACACCTTCTAAATGAAGGTCTGTGCTTTTCTCTGCAGATTTATGTGAGGGAGATGTGTGATCTTGTGTGGATGATGAATCATCTTTCTCTGAAGAAGGAATTTTTGTCAAAGGACGAAATATCTCTCTGGGTTCGGCAGCATGGGCAAACCAGTACGAATCTATTAATTATAATCATTTGTAAGCAACATTTACAAGTTGATCACTAATCTAATAAACATTGAGAGAAATATACTAAAATGTAAGTAATTTTCACATTTGAAAAATCTCCTGTGATGTTTCAAATAAGTTTTAATAGAGGAAATTGAATAGAATGAATCTTTAATGGAAAAGACAGCTTGAAACAATATAAGAAAATTAGTGAATAGAATTCATATTTAATCTATCATCTTTTATCAAGCCTATAATCATATTCTAAAATTCTTTAAATCTANTTACTTAACATGTATGGGCCCCTTAAAACAGACCCTGGTTTTATAATCTCTCTTTGACCTTTGTCAATGAGATATATATGTTGTTTACATATTCAATATTTTAAATAATTTATATTTAAACCCTTATGCAAGAAATGAGTAATAAATAAATTGACAATATACTGTATATACTGTAGAAATTTAATTTTCAGTAAAACAATTCTTCTGAAATAGAATTACCCTATAGACCACTAAAATATCACTGTAAAATATCATTTGTTATTTTTTTTCTGTGGACCCCAGTAATGTTATACAGGCCCCAGTTGAGAAACCATGATATAAATTATAGTATCACCATTACATATGATACTTTAATCTCTCAAAAACAAAATATATTAATTAAACTGTCCATTAATAATAGACTCAGTAGGAAGACTCAAAAGAAAAATTTGATGTCTATAAAATGCTGTTGAGAAAACAAGGAAATACAGTATATGTTATATAGATGTAATGCAAGAGTATTTAAAAAACAGAATTTTGGAGTAGAAGAGAGATTGAAAATAATAGAGAATATCAAAATATTAACATTGTATTCTTACTGAAATAATTAAACTCCTTTTATTAATGAAAGAAAAAAAATTTGAAACAATAATCTTATTTTCTCCAAATAATACCATATTTACTCAAATGTAAAATGCACTTTTTCAAGTTTTAATATCTCTGAAAATATTACATCAAATCTAAAATGAAGCCTACATCATAATTTGTGACCTTTAGTGCCATTCATCTTACTGTATTTCTCTGTAAATAGTGGTCACTAATCCTATGGCATCATTTTAATAGTTTTATTAGACTAATAACAAATACTTAAAACATCAACTTAACTCAATCTACTAAGTCTATTACAATAACATTGTAAATATTTAGATGAAAATTCCAAAGAAGTTTTGCAGCATTTTTTCAAGAAATGATGTATTTATTATGCTTTAAACAGCACTGAGGATTATTATGTATGGGAAGATGTGAACATCAAATCCACAGAAATGCATTAGGCTTTAGGATTCAGAAGAGCCCAACAGAGAAAGTTCAGGGGTTTCTGACACTGTTACCATGGAAAATAGTGATGTATATTGTATTACTGTGCAATAAATGCTGATTCTGTTGACATGCATTTGTCTTAAGTAAACTATTTTTTCAAAAAAAAAGAAAAAAATCTGTCAGTGAACATATAGAAATTAAGATGCCTTATATTCAAGTAAATATAGTATTAAAACTATTTTTTAGCAAAAAAAATTTTAATCAGCTTCCATAATCCATATATTTATTATTGTAACTTTCTAAAATATAGAATTATGATTTAAAATAAAATTATTACAGTATTTCTGTATACTATTCTGTATTAAAAAAATTCTATACTTATAAAAAACATTGTATTAATGTGAGTCTTGTATTTATATAAAACTTTTTGCAAATAATTCTGTTTTTATATTGTTTATGTTAAAATATTTTTAAATGTATTTGAAATAAGATAGCATATTTCAATCTTTTTAAAACCTTTTTTGATTCAAGTGATGAAGCCTTCAATGTACATAAGTACTTTTAATAATTTCACTTCAATATTGTATTGCCCAATTTGTGTACTTTAATTAGAAAATTTAGTATCATTACTTGTAAAAATAATCACAATACAAGTTTGTCAATATAATTTCAAAAATTAATCATGATAATAAAACTAAAATTTAAAAACTCTAAATATTTAAATAATTTCTAATTTAAAATGGATAAAAATATATTAGATATGATTAAAACAAAATATTACAAATTAATTTGAATGAATTGTATACATATATACAGGATAGGCACAAGTCCTGTCAACCCTATAAAAAATTAATTGTATGTTCCATTTGTTGTTTGTTTCATCACACAAAAGATCACAAATAATGGTTGATACAACTAACTATACTATTAAAAAACATATAATTACTATTTTCTGTGTTTATAAAAGGGAAAGAACAAAAAAATGGAAGAGGTGCATGCAAACTTCTAGCAGACTTGGACAACAGCCTTCTCCAAAAAAGAATACTTTTCCAATGGAATCATAACAATTTTATAACAGGTAGTGCAAAGGATAAGCTTAAGCATTGCTGTTCAGAATATACCCAGTTCCACAAAATTTTTTCACATTGATTTCATGGACAATCTTGGCACTGACTTTTTGACTTCCTGTTTTTCACATCTGTTGGAGGGCCTGCCATTTTATTGATTCTTCTTTGTGCTATCTGTTATAAAAATCTCATGCTCCCACCAGAAAAGTGTTCTTTTTGGAGGAGACTGTCATCTAAATCATTGCTGGAAGTCTGCATTTACCTCTTCCACTGTTTTCTGTTCTTTCACTTTTATAAACTCAACTATTACTGATTATGTTCTTTAATAGTATAGTTACTTGTATCAACTAATATTCATGTTCTTTTATCTGAAAATTAAAAATTAATCCATAGGGTTAATTATTAATTTTCTATAAGGGTGATGGGACTTTGCACTCATCCTGTACAATCTTTTTTCAAGTTTTATGAAATCATTTATTTAACATTACTTTTGCATAATTTTATTCATTAATTTAGTAAACATCAGGCATCTGTTTGAAATACATATATATACGAGGGAGGACCCAAAAAGAACCAAACTGAGAGCACACTGCCATTCGTAGACTTTGTAGAGAGTTCTCCCATTACATGGGGTTAGTAGAGACGATCACGAAACAGCTGTGCAAATGGCATCAGTTTGCAGGTTTACATTTGAACATAGTGTTGTGTTTCTCTTACTGTTATTTCGTTCCGCCTGTGAAGTTCTGGGCGTCCTTCAACATTTCAAAACGATGAAAACATTGAAAAAAATCTGCCAAAAAGTGTTAAGATGTCTGCAAGAGGATATGCAAAGGAAACGTCTGAAACTTTGGCAATCAGGTGACTGGTTCCTTCATCACGACAACGCCCCTGCACACACAGCCTTATGAGTGACCCACTGTTTGGCCTCTCGGGGATGGCCTGTCGTTCTCCACCCTCCACATTCACCAGATCTAGCCCCATACGACTTTTTTCTGTTTTTGAGAATGAAGAAAAATCTAAAAGGGAAGCGTTTTGATGATGTGGAGGCAGTAAAAACAGCTTCGCTAAGGGCACTGGATGATATCAAGATTGAAGAGTTCCAGAGATGCTTCAAACAGTGGGGAAAAAGACTTCACAAGTACATTGCATCTAATGGAGAGTACTTTGAAGGTGACTGAAGAAATTTTGTAAAAAAGTTAATAAATAAAGTTTTATACAAAAAATCCAGTTTTTTTTGGGTCCCCCCTCGNTTTTGCTCCAAACTTTTGTAATAATAGAAGTGATAACCAAACACAGTAATACTAAATTTTTAACTTAAAGTGTTCATCTGAATTAATTCAGAATTAATGTTTAGTAAGTGAAAATTTTAAACTTGATAAATGCACATTATAACTGTAATTTTAAAAAATTTTTGAAAATGTTTAATTGGAATTCTTATCTTTTAGAAAATACTTCAACCAAAAGATTTTAAGAATAAAAAGTATATTTTTTTACTTGTATTGATGATAATTTGAAGAAAGGGAACTGTTTCTTCACAAAGAAATTTTATAACTTCATAATAATTTCATTAATTTTTGAAAAACCTAAAAGGACTATCAGTTATATTTTGATTTCATATCTTGAATGACACAGATATGTTATCTCTACCATTGATCTTTGAGCCTACTCAAGCTATCCATTAATTATAATTAAGTTCACATCTTTTAAAACCATATATAGCAATCTTATTTAAATATGTTCAATGTTAAATTCTTCAACTCAATCTAGTTTCTAACCTATGCATTTGGCAATAAAAATTGAGAAAATAATATTTCAATTTAATTTGATTTATAACAGTTCAATTTTTCAAATAAATTTTAAATCAAATTATACAATTAAAGCATTAAATTTAAAAACAACATTATGTGTACATACATTTCTTTCAATATAACAATCTTAACATGAAAACTAAATGAACAGTGTTTTATTTTAATAAATCAGAGTATAAATTATAAAAGTAATGGCAGAGCTTTATATTAATATATATATATATTGATATATATTACATATGAATAACAGATATTAAATTCATATTAACAAAGCTTATTTTCTGTATAATTTTGTTTAGTAGAATTATCTTTCACTTATATGGAGAAAATATTTATATATACAACATTTGAAACAATGACATAAAAGTTCTATTATATTGTAATTTCCTCCTTTTATATAAAGAAGAATTATTATTAGATGATTAATTCTTTAATTTTGTTAACTATTTTATTAAATAATTGTACTTTTAAAATGTAGTTTCAGAGATATTTAAGTAAGTAAATAGTCAAATAACTTAGTGACAAGAAAAGTTTAATACACTGATATTTTGACAGCAAAAAGACATTTCTTTAAAGAAACCAAATTTATTGGCATCTTGTACTATCACAAATGTGATAGTATGATGCCAGTAAATATGTAAAAAAGTTTACCCCAAGAAAATAAATCAACTGTTCATAATTTATTTTCTGAAAATTCTTTATTTCAGTAATTTTTCTTTGTGGGAGGCTCAAGGACTATACAAATACAGGGCAGACTTTTCATTATATGCCATTTCTGAATGATTTGAATTACTTAACCTCATTTATTTCTCTTACAAATTTTATTTTAAATTCATTGCTATTGCATTTTGATTTTTATTGATTCTTTGTTTATTTATTGTTTTCAATACAAACATATCTATTTTATCTTTACAGTTTTCTATTAATCAAATTTCCCATATTTATGTTTAGTATGCCAAACTATAATATATAGCATTCTCATATTTTAATTAATAATTCAACAATTTCATATTGTCATTATATACGATTAACAGAAAGTCAAAATTCCATTATGCAATAAGAAAATTTTTAGTTGGAGTAAGTAGAAAATTTTTAATTTTGTGATCATCCATACAATTTATCAATCCGAATGATATATTTTTTTAGAAATTAGAAAATGTATTTATTTTCTTTAAAGAAAATTTCTTTAATTTCTAAACTTTCTCTGAATTCTTCAGATATAAGCAGCATAAGTTTTCTTTGGCAATAAAATCACACTTAAATCATCAAAAAACTCTCCAAAATCAGGTGTTATCTTATAGGTCAGAAATAAAAACCTTACAGTAACCTTAAAATTCTACATAAAATACCAATGTAAGTTCTATAACCCACCCCATAATGACCAGCAGTAGGTCATTCTATGACCCACTGCTGATAATCATGGATGAAAGAAACTGCACAAATCTTGAAAGGACTATCCATTATAAGAACACTTCAAAACCATAATCCAGTTAAAAGAACAAAAAACATTTATTAAAAAACAAATGTTTTCAACCTTTATAAAGGCCATCTTCAAGTTTTACTGGTAGAATGGAAAATTGAACAATATATATTTTTAAATGTTTGTTGCACAAGAAGTTCACATGCGCAGGAGCATAGTAATATAATATAAATTAAAACAGAAGAAAAATAACATATACGAAAAATTTACATAACTAGAGATAACAAAAAATCATAAAAAAACAATAAATGTATTAATACTAAAGTAAACTATACATTGACTTATGGACTATAATGCCTTATAAAGCAGTCATTGTAATCAATGACTTCTTGCCAACAGGGCATACATTGCAAATCTGCATTCTGCATCATACTACATCATTACATCACCATACTGATAACTGCTTACTAGTTAAAACTTATAATTTTTTTAATAATTTGGGATTGTCTTATAAAATAGATCAGAGCTAAAACCAATAAATTTAGCATAAAGTTAAGTTCATATCTTATCTGGAGATCACATTAACAAAATATACAAAATTAATAATTAATGCACAAACTTCTTGCTCAGTACTTACATTTAAAGTCAGATTTCATTGGACTATCTTTTAGCTAAACATTAATTCAAATGAATTATTTTCTATATTAAAAACAATTAACCTGAATTAACCTGATCAGACAGTTATGAAACTTTTAATACATCTGCATTGTATGCAAAAGATGCAAGTTTGAACCTTTCTCAAGGTCAATCTTGTCTTCCAGATTATTCAAATTATTAAATTTATTTCTAAATTAATATAACTATTAATATAAGTATCAATACAAGACGAATACCTATCTTTGCTCTTAATTTGTTAGATGCCTAAATCTGGTTTTATTCAATAATTTTTAGAAATTCAAACTTGATTGTAATTATACACTTTTTCTAAATTTATTTTTCGTAATTAACATTAATCTTTCTTTTCACTTATAATTAACAAAATAAATTAAAAATTATCTTTAAAAATTTCAATTGTTACAGAAAAAAATCTGAAGTTTTTAATTATTAACTTAAAAATTTTTTTTAAATTATATTAAGCACAATAACAGTATTTATGATGAAATCATCATCTTCATAAATATTAAAATTAGTAATAGAAGATTTACAGTATTTAAATTACAAATGATGTACAATAATTTGCTTTCAGGTGATTTAAAAGTATTTAATTATTGTTTTTTGTTAATATTTAGACATAATAATTGATGTACACTTAAAAATTTTAATGCTTTCATATCGACTTTGCAATAAAAAACATTAGAAATAATAAATAATATTTAAAGCAAAAAAATGCAATGAAAATTTTTTTCCTATATATAAACAAATTATTTATATACCATTTTCTTTTCAATTATTGGCTAAACACATTCCAATAAAGTTACTCACCAAGACGGTTTGGTGTGGTAGCTCTGGGTGGAACTTGCAATTTCTCCACTGGACTCACACCTTCTAAATGAAGGTCTGTGCTTTTCTCTGCAGATTTATGTGAGGGAGATGTGTGATCTTGTGTGGATGATGAATCATCTTTCTCTGAAGAAGGAATTTTTGTCAAAGGACGAAATATCTCTCTGGGTTCGGCAGCATGGGCAAACCAGTACGAATCTATTAATTATAATCATTTGTAAGCAACATTTACAAGTTGATCACTAATCTAATAAACATTGAGAGAAATATACTAAAATGTAAGTAATTTTCACATTTGAAAAATCTCCTGTGATGTTTCAAATAAGTTTTAATAGAGGAAATTGAATAGAATGAATCTTTAATGGAAAAGACAGCTTGAAACAATATAAGAAAATTAGTGAATAGAATTCATATTTAATCTATCATCTTTTATCAAGCCTATAATCATATTCTAAAATTCTTTAAATCTAAAATTATTAAATAAATTTATATAGCACACACAGATGAAGATTAAATAATCTGTATATATTAGTTTATTCCATTTAACAACAGTTTTTATATCAAACAACTTTCTAAAAATAATTTTAAAAAATACTATTCATGAAATTTACTATCAAGGATTATTTACAAATGTTATAAAATATGAGTAATTTTATATTTATATTCAGTATAATTTTCTCATCAATAGCACACATCATTGATTTATCAAATTTAATCTCATTAAATTTGTTTGATTAAAATTTTTTTTAAGCAATAAAAGAAAATTAAAATTCACTAATAATACACATGCAGTTTTTTTTAAATTCATTACAGTATTTTCTATTTTTATTTGAACAGTAATTCCATTTAAATAAAGTTTTAGAAAACTTTTGATTTACTACTACTAATGAATTTATAATTTGTGAGTTCATTTATATGCACATGCTGTAGATATATAAAAATACAGAAACTCAAAATAAAAAATTTATCAATTTTTATTTTTAAATAAATAAGAATTATTTTCCTGTAGTAAAAAAATCACCAAAACAGTAAAGAAACATTTAGATAAAAGTAAATTTAGAATGATAATACATTTTTGTTGTTCCTATTAAAATAATTAATAATCTGATAATGTATTACACAATTATTAGAATAATGAAGATTACTTTTATTCAAAATTTTGATTTATCATCATTATATATCACCTGTGAGTTTATAATCAAGAATATAAATTTATTCATTATTCTGACATGACATACATAGTCAATTTTTACAATGTTATTTTTTACACATGAATAAAAATTAAAATAGACTTTATATCACATAGATAATTATAAAATAATCTCTACAATTATCTCAAATGTTCTAAATATGAAGTATTTTATGTGATTAGAAATGATTGGGGATGATTGCATGTGAATCTATTTTTGGAGTTAAACTACTTCCAATACAATAGAAGTCACAGAGTAATCAAGATGTAAGAAGTTCATGATGGATACAGATATGTTATTGAAGCCAATCTAAATGTGAAACAAGAAGTTTATTATTTAAATCATTTAAAATTTTTTTATAAACAGAAATGAATACAACTTTATCCAATCATTCAATGAATAATTAAAACTTAATTTTGTTTTATAACTTAAAAAATGCCTGTAATACATTTCTTTTAGTTAAAATAAATATATTAAAATAGTGTTAATCACCATTAATAAAAGAATTTTAACAATTTCTTCATATTTTATAATTTTAAATCATTCCATTTTTCTAATTATTAATGAAAAATTTTTTATTTGCAACACTAAATACAAAAAGCATCTATTTTTAAGTTTAAGTTTGGAAGAGAGGAATAAAAAAACAAAATATTTGAAATTCAAATCCAGGAACTATTTTTAAAAATTCTAAATATAGCCATCATATTTAAAAATCAAATATAATAAGACATTAGTAATCTAATTAAAAAAGCATATGATGTATTAATATTAGTAAAAGATTTCACATTTAAAATGTTTGGCATAAATATATTAGGTAAACAAGATTATTAATTTAATATTCAATATTATTTAAACGTATGCAATTAGGAAATGTTGACTCAATCTCAATCCTTTTTCCTGTTTCTTAATCAATTACATGCTTAACTACAACTCATCTTTACAGCATTTAGTGAGCTTTTGTTATATTGAGAAAAATCTATTTCACTTAAAAGATTATTTCAATATAATTTTTTATTATTACAGTATGTAAAAAAATTACAATTACATTATATTTCCTGAAAATTAAAATGTTAGAGTTTAACTTGATAAATAATTCAAAAAAAAAAAAATTATTATAAATTATTAATACTTAAATTTACAAATTACTTATATATTTTTTCATGAAACAAATATTCAAAACTGATAAAAATTGTTGAATTATTCAATCCTTAAATATTTGGTTAACAATTTAAATTTATAAATATTAACAATTGAAATCATTATTCTAATATCAATTTATAAACACACAGAAAAACCAAGTATAATGTTTTAAGTTTATTTAATTATTAAATTGTTTGAAAAAATTTAAACATAAAACACTTTTTACTTTTATATATACCATATATATAATTTGAACTTAGCAAATGACCTGTTACACCTAAAGCTACCCACAAGTAAAACAGAATCACCACCTAAGAACACGAAATTGCTCAATTTAATCTAGATTTTGTAAAATAAAACATCAATAAAACAATAAGGCCAATTTTAAGTAATTTTCTTCAAAACTATTTTTCAACACAAATATGCTTTTAAAACGTTTTTGCCATATTTTATCAAAATGACAATTTAATTTGTAATAATAAATTGAATTAGATCGGATGTTAGAATTACCTTTTGCCGGTGACATTTTTGTTGAAGATAGCCGTCCACTGACAGATACTGGGGAAACAGGTGTAGTCTTATCCACTGCTGTTGGCTCATCTGAATGTTATATATCAAATAAAATGATGTTAAACTTTAACATATTTTAAAATAAATGATTTATTTATAGAAATTTTAAGTAACACATGTAAAACAATGCATCAAATTTTTACAAATATTTACACGAAACAAAACATTACAGCACAAAGAAATTTAACTCAAGCATGACAAACACGCAAGACATGTAGACGATCAGCTGTCTCACTTCCCTCTGAGCCATATTTAGACCAGGCTCACTAATTTATCCCACTCCTACTGTTCACTTAAGAATATAAACCAAAAGGCCATCTACAATCCAGTCATAGTATATTACTAATAATTTAATTACAGATAAAATCAATTTGAATTATATATAATTAAAAAATAATAATGAAAATAAAGAATCCACTAATCTGCCATTACAAACCAATAAGGAAAACAGGTGAAATTACATGTGCACGGCCGCAGGGCATTAAGAAACACGTCCAACATTTTAATAGTGTAACCTATTTAAATCTTCTCAAGTGAATAACATCAAGATACATCAAACTTAATGTCTTTATACCTACAACCTTTAAAAAATTTGGCCTAATTGGACTTCTCCACAATATTATGTCAACACCTACGTCTAAAACGAAAACATTTACGTCTCACGATTACATACACGCGTTAAAATCCATAATTTATAAAATATAGAAGCGAAACGTTAATGTTTTATGAAATTTTTATCTTACCTAACCGAATCAGATACGTTCTTTCAAATTTCATTTCTCAATGGAACGAAAAGTTCGCAAATAAAAACATCTGATGATGGAAAAACGAACTCACCCACCGCATTAACTTATCGTGAGTGACGTCAGCCAGCTTTTTCTAACTATATATTTTTTTCCCCTCGCTCTTTCTTTTATGAATAATGGAACATTTGTGAGCAGGCAGCAACGCAATCGAAGGGCGAAGACTGTCTGACGCTAGCTATGACACGCCTAACGTAGATGTTCAGACGTTCTCTGACACCAAATCGAGAAACCTTATCGAAGATGACGTGATTTTTCAGTTAGCGGTTCCGCTCCGAGAATTTCAGCGTCAAGCCAGCTTTATATCTACGTGGGTGTTTCATTCCAGATCGAATATCTCAACGGTGCCAAGTAAAAATTGCACAATAACTAAATTAATCATTGCAAACTTAACGTAAACAAATTGAAAGACTTGCGCGCTTAATTTTCGTAAAGTCACGTGGCCACCGTAGATCATCACGCTCGTGCCGGATTGCTCATAAAACAAATCTCGTTTTATCGCCAAAAAATATTTATTTTTCCCCGATAAATTATCGATAAAACCGGCTTAAAACATTCCTGGCGGGTGATTAAACGCTGATCAGACTATGCAAGCGAGTATAAAGTACGAAATTTCTGAATTTAGTTAAATAATGATAATTCCTAATCTAATTCCCGCGGGGAAGAAGTAACGCGGGAAGGTCATTTTTACGTCATAACCGACCACGCACTCGGAGTAACACGGTAAACTTTCCTTGTTGTTAGGTTTCGGATTTTTCAAAATGTCTTCGACAAAACGAAACTTCGAGGGGGAAAAATCGTTCTCGGATTTCACGACGCGGCGCACATCCCTGAGGGAAACGACCCTTCTGACTTAAAGATGAAAAAGCGCTTCTAGGCAGGAAGCACGATCCCAACAGATGCACAAAACTATATATAGTATATACTTCTCTAATGGATCGATAAACGTTACACGCATTTTAAGAAGCTTTTCATCGTCTGCCCGTCAGGAGAAAAAAATTATCTACGAGTATTCAATTGTCTGTGAAATTACCCTAAAAATCTCTTTCGTGATGCGAAACTGTTTGATTAATTCCCTACAGCTTTATTATGGAGGGGGAAAGTAAACCGCGGATAATTGGCAAAAATGTGTCCTTGATAACTACCGCCTACGGCGAGAATAATTCTTAATAAGATACTACCGACAGGATGGCAATGAAATGCGTGAACGTTAAATTGAATAAATTAAAAACCCTTCTTCGTCATAAAATATACATTTGCAATATTTTCCTACTTCCTAAACTCGATCTTTCCAGTCTTTACGTTTCTAGCCTGATTTATAATTGATTATACACGTTTCAACTTCCTCAAACAAAGGAAATCTCATCTCTCCAAGATTATACAACTATTTAAACTCTTATAATGTGTGTACTATGGTTTAACAATGCTTGTCTTTTTAACAATATCTGTTCTGACCTATTTCTTAAGATGTTGTACATCTAGCATGGAAGGAAACCCAAATCAATTTGCTTGTCAGCTGAGCTATCCAGTAAATGACTAAACTGACTCACACAGTTAAGTCTAGAGGAAGATATGAGTCAACAAAAGGAGAGTCTGTGATAGATGGGATGTGTATATTTCTCACATTATTAGAAATATCATCAAAAGAATTATTGTGATTTAAAAATTAACTAACTATTCACCAGAAATATTTAAACTTTGTATTGAAAAACTTGAAATTAATAACAAAAAGTCTTTAATNTCATAAAACGATAAATAGTTTGTCAAATTTTTATTCATAAAAATGCAGTTTTAACTGCGTTTTACTTTATAAAATCCGTCTTCTTGAGCCACCAGAGGGCCTTTTAAACAATAGCTAGTGTGTTAGCGCTGGTCAGTAGTAGTCCAAATTCAATACGTTTTTTGAAAATTTGTTCACGATTTAAATACAGTATTTATTTTTTATATTACCGATACTTCATCGAAAAGAAAACGTGTTGTATTATCATTAAAAAACAAATTAAAGTATTTGTTTCGATTATCTGGATTTTTCCTTATCCGGACTACCTTCATCCCCAATTAGTCCAGATAATTGAGGTTCTACTGTAATTTCAATAATAACATTACTTTATGAGAATCACTTTTATATTTAATGTTCAATAATTAACAAATGTTTTTGTCTTATATAAACAATGACAGGTTCTCGTTTTGACTAATCATTATTGTTGGATTATTTACATTCATAAAACAAATATTTTTGCTCCAAACTTTTGTAATAATAGAAGTGATAACCAAACACAGTAATACTAAATTTTTAACTTAAAGTGTTCATCTGAATTAATTCAGAATTAATGTTTAGTAAGTGAAAATTTTAAACTTGATAAATGCACATTATAACTGTAATTTTAAAAAATTTTTGAAAATGTTTAATTGGAATTCTTATCTTTTAGAAAATACTTCAACCAAAAGATTTTAAGAATAAAAAGTATATTTTTTTACTTGTATTGATGATAATTTGAAGAAAGGGAACTGTTTCTTCACAAAGAAATTTTATAACTTCATAATAATTTCATTAATTTTTGAAAAACCTAAAAGGACTATCAGTTATATTTTGATTTCATATCTTGAATGACACAGATATGTTATCTCTACCATTGATCTTTGAGCCTACTCAAGCTATCCATTAATTATAATTAAGTTCACATCTTTTAAAACCATATATAGCAATCTTATTTAAATATGTTCAATGTTAAATTCTTCAACTCAATCTAGTTTCTAACCTATGCATTTGGCAATAAAAATTGAGAAAATAATATTTCAATTTAATTTGATTTATAACAGTTCAATTTTTCAAATAAATTTTAAATCAAATTATACAATTAAAGCATTAAATTTAAAAACAACATTATGTGTACATACATTTCTTTCAATATAACAATCTTAACATGAAAACTAAATGAACAGTGTTTTATTTTAATAAATCAGAGTATAAATTATAAAAGTAATGGCAGAGCTTTATATTAATATATATATATATTGATATATATTACATATGAATAACAGATATTAAATTCATATTAACAAAGCTTATTTTCTGTATAATTTTGTTTAGTAGAATTATCTTTCACTTATATGGAGAAAATATTTATATATACAACATTTGAAACAATGACATAAAAGTTCTATTATATTGTAATTTCCTCCTTTTATATAAAGAAGAATTATTATTAGATGATTAATTCTTTAATTTTGTTAACTATTTTATTAAATAATTGTACTTTTAAAATGTAGTTTCAGAGATATTTAAGTAAGTAAATAGTCAAATAACTTAGTGACAAGAAAAGTTTAATACACTGATATTTTGACAGCAAAAAGACATTTCTTTAAAGAAACCAAATTTATTGGCATCTTGTACTATCACAAATGTGATAGTATGATGCCAGTAAATATGTAAAAAAGTTTACCCCAAGAAAATAAATCAACTGTTCATAATTTATTTTCTGAAAATTCTTTATTTCAGTAATTTTTCTTTGTGGGAGGCTCAAGGACTATACAAATACAGGGCAGACTTTTCATTATATGCCATTTCTGAATGATTTGAATTACTTAACCTCATTTATTTCTCTTACAAATTTTATTTTAAATTCATTGCTATTGCATTTTGATTTTTATTGATTCTTTGTTTATTTATTATGTTTTCAATACAAACATATCTATTTTATCTTTACAGTTTTCTATTAATCAAATTTCCCATATTTATGTTTAGTATGCCAAACTATAATATATAGCATTCTCATATTTTAATTAATAATTCAACAATTTCATATTGTCATTATATACGATTAACAGAAAGTCAAAATTCCATTATGCAATAAGAAAATTTTTAGTTGGAGTAAGTAGAAAATTTTTAATTTTGTGATCATCCATACAATTTATCAATCCGAATGATATATTTTTTTAGAAATTAGAAAATGTATTTATTTTCTTTAAAGAAAATTTCTTTAATTTCTAAACTTTCTCTGAATTCTTCAGATATAAGCAGCATAAGTTTTCTTTGGCAATAAAATCACACTTAAATCATCAAAAAACTCTCCAAAATCAGGTGTTATCTTATAGGTCAGAAATAAAAACCTTACAGTAACCTTAAAATTCTACATAAAATACCAATGTAAGTTCTATAACCCACCCCATAATGACCAGCAGTAGGTCATTCTATGACCCACTGCTGATAATCATGGATGAAAGAAACTGCACAAATCTTGAAAGGACTATCCATTATAAGAACACTTCAAAACCATAATCCAGTTAAAAGAACAAAAAACATTTATTAAAAAACAAATGTTTTCAACCTTTATAAAGGCCATCTTCAAGTTTTACTGGTAGAATGGAAAATTGAACAATATATATTTTTAAATGTTTGTTGCACAAGAAGTTCACATGCGCAGGAGCATAGTAATATAATATAAATTAAAACAGAAGAAAAATAACATATACGAAAAATTTACATAACTAGAGATAACAAAAAATCATAAAAAAACAATAAATGTATTAATACTAAAGTAAACTATACATTGACTTATGGACTATAATGCCTTATAAAGCAGTCATTGTAATCAATGACTTCTTGCCAACAGGGCATACATTGCAAATCTGCATTCTGCATCATACTACATCATTACATCACCATACTGATAACTGCTTACTAGTTAAAACTTATAATTTTTTTAATAATTTGGGATTGTCTTATAAAATAGATCAGAGCTAAAACCAATAAATTTAGCATAAAGTTAAGTTCATATCTTATCTGGAGATCACATTAACAAAATATACAAAATTAATAATTAATGCACAAACTTCTTGCTCAGTACTTACATTTAAAGTCAGATTTCATTGGACTATCTTTTAGCTAAACATTAATTCAAATGAATTATTTTCTATATTAAAAACAATTAACCTGAATTAACCTGATCAGACAGTTATGAAACTTTTAATACATCTGCATTGTATGCAAAAGATGCAAGTTTGAACCTTTCTCAAGGTCAATCTTGTCTTCCAGATTATTCAAATTATTAAATTTATTTCTAAATTAATATAACTATTAATATAAGTATCAATACAAGACGAATACCTATCTTTGCTCTTAATTTGTTAGATGCCTAAATCTGGTTTTATTCAATAATTTTTAGAAATTCAAACTTGATTGTAATTATACACTTTTTCTAAATTTATTTTTCGTAATTAACATTAATCTTTCTTTTCACTTATAATTAACAAAATAAATTAAAAATTATCTTTAAAAATTTCAATTGTTACAGAAAAAAATCTGAAGTTTTTAATTATTAACTTAAAAATTTTTTTTAAATTATATTAAGCACAATAACAGTATTTATGATGAAATCATCATCTTCATAAATATTAAAATTAGTAATAGAAGATTTACAGTATTTAAATTACAAATGATGTACAATAATTTGCTTTCAGGTGATTTAAAAGTATTTAATTATTGTTTTTTGTTAATATTTAGACATAATAATTGATGTACACTTAAAAATTTTAATGCTTTCATATCGACTTTGCAATAAAAAACATTAGAAATAATAAATAATATTTAAAGCAAAAAAATGCAATGAAAATTTTTTTCCTATATATAAACAAATTATTTATATACCATTTTCTTTTCAATTATTGGCTAAACACATTCCAATAAAGTTACTCACCAAGACGGTTTGGTGTGGTAGCTCTGGGTGGAACTTGCAATTTCTCCACTGGACTCACACCTTCTAAATGAAGGTCTGTGCTTTTCTCTGCAGATTTATGTGAGGGAGATGTGTGATCTTGTGTGGATGATGAATCATCTTTCTCTGAAGAAGGAATTTTTGTCAAAGGACGAAATATCTCTCTGGGTTCGGCAGCATGGGCAAACCAGTACGAATCTATTAATTATAATCATTTGTAAGCAACATTTACAAGTTGATCACTAATCTAATAAACATTGAGAGAAATATACTAAAATGTAAGTAATTTTCACATTTGAAAAATCTCCTGTGATGTTTCAAATAAGTTTTAATAGAGGAAATTGAATAGAATGAATCTTTAATGGAAAAGACAGCTTGAAACAATATAAGAAAATTAGTGAATAGAATTCATATTTAATCTATCATCTTTTATCAAGCCTATAATCATATTCTAAAATTCTTTAAATCTAAAATTATTAAATAAATTTATATAGCACACACAGATGAAGATTAAATAATCTGTATATATTAGTTTATTCCATTTAACAACAGTTTTTATATCAAACAACTTTCTAAAAATAATTTTAAAAAATACTATTCATGAAATTTACTATCAAGGATTATTTACAAATGTTATAAAATATGAGTAATTTTATATTTATATTCAGTATAATTTTCTCATCAATAGCACACATCATTGATTTATCAAATTTAATCTCATTAAATTTGTTTGATTAAAATTTTTTTTAAGCAATAAAAGAAAATTAAAATTCACTAATAATACACATGCAGTTTTTTTTAAATTCATTACAGTATTTTCTATTTTTATTTGAACAGTAATTCCATTTAAATAAAGTTTTAGAAAACTTTTGATTTACTACTACTAATGAATTTATAATTTGTGAGTTCATTTATATGCACATGCTGTAGATATATAAAAATACAGAAACTCAAAATAAAAAATTTATCAATTTTTATTTTTAAACAAATAAGAATTATTTTCCTGTAGTAAAAAAATCACCAAAACAGTAAAGAAACATTTAGATAAAAGTAAATTTAGAATGATAATACATTTTTGTTGTTCCTATTAAAATAATTAATAATCTGATAATGTATTACACAATTATTAGAATAATGAAGATTACTTTTATTCAAAATTTTGATTTATCATCATTATATATCACCTGTGAGTTTATAATCAAGAATATAAATTTATTCATTATTCTGACATGACATACATAGTCAATTTTTACAATGTTATTTTTTACACATGAATAAAAATTAAAATAGACTTTATATCACATAGATAATTATAAAATAATCTCTACAATTATCTCAAATGTTCTAAATATGAAGTATTTTATGTGATTAGAAATGATTGGGGATGATTGCATGTGAATCTATTTTTGGAGTTAAACTACTTCCAATACAATAGAAGTCACAGAGTAATCAAGATGTAAGAAGTTCATGATGGATACAGATATGTTATTGAAGCCAATCTAAATGTGAAACAAGAAGTTTATTATTTAAATCATTTAAAATTTTTTTATAAACAGAAATGAATACAACTTTATCCAATCATTCAATGAATAATTAAAACTTAATTTTGTTTTATAACTTAAAAAATGCCTGTAATACATTTCTTTTAGTTAAAATAAATATATTAAAATAGTGTTAATCACCATTAATAAAAGAATTTTAACAATTTCTTCATATTTTATAATTTTAAATCATTCCATTTTTCTAATTATTAATGAAAAATTTTTTATTTGCAACACTAAATACAAAAAGCATCTATTTTTAAGTTTAAGTTTGGAAGAGAGGAATAAAAAAACAAAATATTTGAAATTCAAATCCAGGAACTATTTTTAAAAATTCTAAATATAGCCATCATATTTAAAAATCAAATATAATAAGACATTAGTAATCTAATTAAAAAAGCATATGATGTATTAATATTAGTAAAAGATTTCACATTTAAAATGTTTGGCATAAATATATTAGGTAAACAAGATTATTAATTTAATATTCAATATTATTTAAACGTATGCAATTAGGAAATGTTGACTCAATCTCAATCCTTTTTCCTGTTTCTTAATCAATTACATGCTTAACTACAACTCATCTTTACAGCATTTAGTGAGCTTTTGTTATATTGAGAAAAATCTATTTCACTTAAAAGATTATTTCAATATAATTTTTTATTATTACAGTATGTAAAAAAATTACAATTACATTATATTTCCTGAAAATTAAAATGTTAGAGTTTAACTTGATAAATAATTCAAAAAAAAAAAAATTATTATAAATTATTAATACTTAAATTTACAAATTACTTATATATTTTTTCATGAAACAAATATTCAAAACTGATAAAAATTGTTGAATTATTCAATCCTTAAATATTTGGTTAACAATTTAAATTTATAAATATTAACAATTGAAATCATTATTCTAATATCAATTTATAAACACACAGAAAAACCAAGTATAATGTTTTAAGTTTATTTAATTATTAAATTGTTTGAAAAAATTTAAACATAAAACACTTTTTACTTTTATATATACCATATATATAATTTGAACTTAGCAAATGACCTGTTACACCTAAAGCTACCCACAAGTAAAACAGAATCACCACCTAAGAACACGAAATTGCTCAATTTAATCTAGATTTTGTAAAATAAAACATCAATAAAACAATAAGGCCAATTTTAAGTAATTTTCTTCAAAACTATTTTTCAACACAAATATGCTTTTAAAACGTTTTTGCCATATTTTATCAAAATGACAATTTAATTTGTAATAATAAATTGAATTAGATCGGATGTTAGAATTACCTTTTGCCGGTGACATTTTTGTTGAAGATAGCCGTCCACTGACAGATACTGGGGAAACAGGTGTAGTCTTATCCACTGCTGTTGGCTCATCTGAATGTTATATATCAAATAAAATGATGTTAAACTTTAACATATTTTAAAATAAATGATTTATTTATAGAAATTTTAAGTAACACATGTAAAACAATGCATCAAATTTTTACAAATATTTACACGAAACAAAACATTACAGCACAAAGAAATTTAACTCAAGCATGACAAACACGCAAGACATGTAGACGATCAGCTGTCTCACTTCCCTCTGAGCCATATTTAGACCAGGCTCACTAATTTATCCCACTCCTACTGTTCACTTAAGAATATAAACCAAAAGGCCATCTACAATCCAGTCATAGTATATTACTAATAATTTAATTACAGATAAAATCAATTTGAATTATATATAATTAAAAAATAATAATGAAAATAAAGAATCCACTAATCTGCCATTACAAACCAATAAGGAAAACAGGTGAAATTACATGTGCACGGCCGCAGGGCATTAAGAAACACGTCCAACATTTTAATAGTGTAACCTATTTAAATCTTCTCAAGTGAATAACATCAAGATACATCAAACTTAATGTCTTTATACCTACAACCTTTAAAAAATTTGGCCTAATTGGACTTCTCCACAATATTATGTCAACACCTACGTCTAAAACGAAAACATTTACGTCTCACGATTACATACACGCGTTAAAATCCATAATTTATAAAATATAGAAGCGAAACGTTAATGTTTTATGAAATTTTTATCTTACCTAACCGAATCAGATACGTTCTTTCAAATTTCATTTCTCAATGGAACGAAAAGTTCGCAAATAAAAACATCTGATGATGGAAAAACGAACTCACCCACCGCATTAACTTATCGTGAGTGACGTCAGCCAGCTTTTTCTAACTATATATTTTTTTCCCCTCGCTCTTTCTTTTATGAATAATGGAACATTTGTGAGCAGGCAGCAACGCAATCGAAGGGCGAAGACTGTCTGACGCTAGCTATGACACGCCTAACGTAGATGTTCAGACGTTCTCTGACACCAAATCGAGAAACCTTATCGAAGATGACGTGATTTTTCAGTTAGCGGTTCCGCTCCGAGAATTTCAGCGTCAAGCCAGCTTTATATCTACGTGGGTGTTTCATTCCAGATCGAATATCTCAACGGTGCCAAGTAAAAATTGCACAATAACTAAATTAATCATTGCAAACTTAACGTAAACAAATTGAAAGACTTGCGCGCTTAATTTTCGTAAAGTCACGTGGCCACCGTAGATCATCACGCTCGTGCCGGATTGCTCATAAAACAAATCTCGTTTTATCGCCAAAAAATATTTATTTTTCCCCGATAAATTATCGATAAAACCGGCTTAAAACATTCCTGGCGGGTGATTAAACGCTGATCAGACTATGCAAGCGAGTATAAAGTACGAAATTTCTGAATTTAGTTAAATAATGATAATTCCTAATCTAATTCCCGCGGGGAAGAAGTAACGCGGGAAGGTCATTTTTACGTCATAACCGACCACACACTCGGAGTAACACGGTAAACTTTCCTTGTTGTTAGGTTTCGGATTTTTCAAAATGTCTTCGACAAAACGAAACTTCGAGGGGGAAAAATCGTTCTCGGATTTCACGACGCGGCGCACATCCCTGAGGGAAACGACCCTTCTGACTTAAAGATGAAAAAGCGCTTCTAGGCAGGAAGCACGATCCCAACAGATGCACAAAACTATATATAGTATATACTTCTCTAATGGATCGATAAACGTTACACGCATTTTAAGAAGCTTTTCATCGTCTGCCCGTCAGGAGAAAAAAATTATCTACGAGTATTCAATTGTCTGTGAAATTACCCTAAAAATCTCTTTCGTGATGCGAAACTGTTTGATTAATTCCCTACAGCTTTATTATGGAGGGGGAAAGTAAACCGCGGATAATTGGCAAAAATGTGTCCTTGATAACTACCGCCTACGGCGAGAATAATTCTTAATAAGATACTACCGACAGGATGGCAATGAAATGCGTGAACGTTAAATTGAATAAATTAAAAACCCTTCTTCGTCATAAAATATACATTTGCAATATTTTCCTACTTCCTAAACTCGATCTTTCCAGTCTTTACGTTTCTAGCCTGATTTATAATTGATTATACACGTTTCAACTTCCTCAAACAAAGGAAATCTCATCTCTCCAAGATTATACAACTATTTAAACTCTTATAATGTGTGTACTATGGTTTAACAATGCTTGTCTTTTTAACAATATCTGTTCTGACCTATTTCTTAAGATGTTGTACATCTAGCATGGAAGGAAACCCAAATCAATTTGCTTGTCAGCTGAGCTATCCAGTAAATGACTAAACTGACTCACACAGTTAAGTCTAGAGGAAGATATGAGTCAACAAAAGGAGAGTCTGTGATAGATGGGATGTGTATATTTCTCACATTATTAGAAATATCATCAAAAGAATTATTGTCATTTAAAAATTAACTAACTATTCACCAGAAATATTTAAACTTTGTATTGAAAAACTTGAAATTAATAACAAAAAGTCTTTAATATTTCAAAATAAACATTTTACAAAATTTTTAAAACAACGAATTAATGCAAATATTAACATATTTAAATTTTTCTTGAATTAATTTGGCAATAAAACAATTATTAATAGAATAATAAAATTAAATTATAATTTTTGCAATAAGTAAAAAAACATATTACAATTTGTGTTGCAATTCTCTTTTATTTGGAGTGTTCAAAACTAAAACTTATTTTTTTTTATCTATATTTGTTCTTTTTAAGGAAGGACATAGTTGCTTTCTAATATGAAAGATAAGAAAAATCTTTTAGTTTTTAAATTTAAAACAATATAAAATTTTTTAAACAAATAATAATTGTTTTATCAATAATGAATGAGGATGTCCTTATTAAAAAAACAAAAAAGTTTTAATCTTCAATACTTTAAAAAATTATGTAAATAATAAAAAAAATTTAATTAGAAAAATTCAAATTCTATTAAGTTTAAGTATAAAAAAAATGATTATATTGAAAAAATAACATACTTTACAGTCAAGAATGCTTTATAGGAAAACAAAAGTGCTTTCCAATTATCAAGTGGGCCATTACAAAGTTAAATGTGATGACAAAAATACTTTATGTCATAAATTTAGATGTGCAAATACTACAGAAAATAATAAATTTGGTAGTTTTTCAAGTTTAAAGTAAGTTTTATTTATCATGCTTTTTATTAAAAACATTATATAAGTAAACAAACAGACAAACAGTAAACTTATTAATTAATATTTATTTTAAAATAATAATTATA